AAGGCAAGATGTTCAGAATGAAAATAAATATCAAAGCCAGTTTTATTTCAAAATACATCTTCAGCTTTTAATATTTGGGAGAAATAGCAGGATTTATTTATGCTTATTATTCAAGACTTTATTTACAATAGCCACAAAAATAATAGTAATTTGGATTATAACCAGCAGATTAAAATAGCAGATTAAAATCCTGCCAAAACCCCAGCTGATTTAGAAGTGAAAAGATCAAAATCACTTTGCATCATTGTTGTCAAGTACATGGTATTTCAAATTTCATAGGGATGAGTGATAAAATACATGAAGGTTAGGTTGACTATAAGCAGCTTGTTATAATAGCTACTTAGAATCCTAAGGAGTTTTAAGCATGGGTAGAAACTTCCAGATCTCTTGATATTAATGAACAACTCCCAACAATCCAAGTTAGCACAGTATGCAACATCTGGAGAGCCTACTTGGGGGCCAAAATAGGGGAGATGTAGATCAACTGCTGGATTTTGCAAAAAATCAGGAATATGTTAGTGCCTTTTCCAACTAACAAATTTTTATTAAAAGGCATAACTTTTTGTGAGCTAAATAGACAAGATGGAAGTAATTAAATTAGTGTTGTAATGCATTTCATTCTTTTATCATATATATCAAATTTGTAGAAAACTACCAAACACATTTTACAGCTCTAGGAAAGAAGACAATAGGTGTTGCTAAGAATGATAGGAAATAAATATCAGTAGTTCTACTTACGGGTCTGAAAATATGAATATCTTGTGTCCTAGACACTAAATGGGAACTTTTTGCAATACAAGTGGCAGTCTCCAATTTATCTCCTGTTAGCATCCATATCTATGAGATAATTTTAGAATTTAATTGTTAATTATTTATTGTATTGAAAACTGTGCATGTATCTTTCTCAAATCAACTTAAGGAAAAAACCAGTAAAGATTCAAATGATTCCTTTTGCTTCAGATAGATGCAGAGTCCAGCTGTTGGGCTCTATAGAGGCAAAAAGGAGTAGACTGATTCAAAAGGAAGAACAAGCATTTAAACTCATTCTACCTATTCAAATATGGTAACTTTTCAGATAACTTGAGAGAAACAGTTAAAAGGAATAAAATATATTATCACTCTTTCCTTCCCATAGATGTATGTCTCCATATAATTAGTTTGTTGCAAAATTTTATTCTCTGAATCCTATTAGAAATCATAGTAATTCATATTGCTATTATTCATGGTAAGCATTCAAATATCTAAAATACATGTTATCCAGTTAAATCTTGAAATAACTAAGTTACAAGTCAATATTGTTGCCCCAATATGTAATTATTTATAAATAAACAAATTCATATGGCTGCCTGTCTACCAAAGGAACTCTGGATGGTGAATAAAGATTAAAATGTCCTCCAAAATTTATAAATCCATTAAAGAAAAAGTAAGACAAGGCCTATAAAAAACCTGAAATTTAAAGCCCTGGAAGGCAAATCCTAATGTGTTTGATCAATATGACCTGCTCTATCACAGTTTCTTGTGCAGATGGAGGTATTCAATTACATAACCTTAGCATAGTAGATATGCATGTGAGTGTATTCATGGAAAAAAATCATATTGCAACACTTAGTAACTACTATAATACTACAGATCTTATAAAACAAACCTTCATGTGAATTTTCTGTACATTTTGCATAAGGAAAAATAATTCTCTAGTTAATATATTCAAATATACGCTACAAAAAATCAACTTTGCCTTCTCTTTCTCTCTCTCTGCTTCTTATTCTACAGGACTTGGACCAGCATTGAAACATTCCCAGTTGCTTATATTTCTCACATGAAACAGATTGGATTCTTAGTTACAGCAACAAATCTGCAGTGAAAGGACAAGAAATGTAGACAGGTAGTCCTTGCTTAATGACTACAACAGGGACCAGAAAATTGGTTGTTAAACAGGTGGTCGTTAAGCGAGTCGCCATGTAACTAAACCTGATTTTATGACCTTTTTTTACAACAGTCATTAAGTGAATCATGTGGTCGTTAAGTGAATCCAGCTTCCCCAATGGACTTTTTTTTGCCAGAATATGCTTAACAACCATGTGATTCGCTTAACAACTGTTGTAAAAAAGGTAGCAAATTGTGATCATGTAATCACGGGGGTGGTGCAACAGTTTGTGATGGTCGTGAGAATACAGGTCATAAAGCACTTTTTCCGAGGCCCTTGTAACTTCGAACTGTCGTAAAATGAACAGTCATTAAGTGATGTCTTCCTGTATAAACAAACTGAAGAATAAAAAATATTAGTACCTTTATTCCAGCATTTCGCAGCATCTCTAGTGTTGGCCTAACATCAGCCTGTAATTGATCTTCAACTCCAGTGAGACACAATAACTCCATTTCTCTTTCCAGACTCTCCACAACTGCAGCCACCTTGAGCATTCTGTCATGTATACTTAATTTTGCTTGGTTATATCGACTCTATTTGTAACAAGACAAAACAAAATGTGATTTGTAGCCTCAAGTAGGTAAGAAAGATTTTAGTGTTGTCCAAAATGCAAGCCCTATAGTGCTATGTGGGTCACAGATTCACTTTAGAACCTGAAATTCAGATTTCACCTATAATGTGCATACAGCAGTAAATGATCATGAAAATAAATGATAATACTGAAGACAGAAACTAAAGGCATCCAAATGTATAATATCTGTAAAATTCAAGCTCTAAAGTCTTTCTTATGTGAAAGGACTTGCATAGTGCTACTACTTTTTATTTTTGTTGGTTTGGTTTCTGATGTCAGTTTCTAAAGTTGGTAGAACCAAAGAAACCAACCACACTATCTGGATTGAAGTTTCACACATGAGAAGACATAACAATATTTCACGATTTACTACTTCATTCCTGAAAACTGTGGCACAGAATTAACATGATAGGAGGGATTTACAGAAAATTATAGTTTGGTGCAATTGGAAAAGTCATAGGTCACAGACAGACATAAAGACTTTTGGGACAATTCTCTTCCAATTTACAAACTGTGCTGTGATCAGAAAGCAGGGCCATGTTTGTATCACTAGTCAATGTGAATGATAAACAAAAGTATGTTTTGTGGAGTTGTTTATATTATACAACATCTTTGTGGATTAATGATAACATCCCTTGGAAATGGAATATTAGAAATGGAGAACAGTATGACAACAAAAAGCATAAGAGAGAAACCGAATCCTTGTTACAGGTTTATATACAATAAGGATATAGAGCAGAGGTACAGTTTTGGGCTATAGAGCAGATAACTTTTAGAAAGAATGAAGTGTTTATAAAAAGACTCAGAAAAGAGCCAGAGGTTGGTGAGATTGCATACTCAGAGGTTAACCAACAACCTATAATTAATAAATAAATAAATAAATAAAATTAGTTAAGAATTTTCTTGTCTTTTTGACTACAGGTAGCCCTCATTGAACAACCACTCAAAGTTATGACAGCGCTAAATGAGGGGGACTTATGATTAAGTCGCAGCATCCCCGCAGTCACATGATCATGATTTGGGTGCTTGGCAACTGGTTCGCAATTATAACGGTTGCAGTGTCCTGAGATCACGTGATTGCCATTTGCAACCTTCACTGCCGGCTTCCGACAAGCAAAGTAAATGGGGAAGCCAGCAGGAGGTCACAAATGGCGATCATGTGACCATATGGGATTTGCCTAATGATGGCAACTGGGACTGCCACAACTGCCATCTTAAATTGGCATGGTCACTTGACATCACACTTTACGACCATGTCACTTAGCAACAGAATTGCCAGTCCCAATTACCATTGTTAAGTGAAGACTAGCTGTACTGTTGTTCAAAAAATTTGGGATAAGGACACATACTCTTTGAAAATATGAATATTATCTACAGAAAAATACATTATTGGCCCGCAGCTGGATTTGTATCAATTTGTTTTTAAACAGAGTGAATAATATTTGCAGAATTTCAGAATTGTTATCTTCTAAGTTTGAAAGAATTTAAACAACAAAAACTTCTATAAAAAAAACCAAAGCCTTTTCTGTCAGGAAAGAGCAAGTACCATTCATATTTATTCAACAGAATGAGAATTTTAGGTCTGTTAATTATATCTCAATGGTATGTGTTCTTGTTTTCTTGAATGATTACAATAATTTTTATTTGTACAGGCAACACTCATTTATTTAGATTATTTATGTTCTACCTGTGCTGGCTTCTGTGATAACATTTCTATTGATAGAAATCAATTATATTTATATCCCCATGTGATTTTTTATAACTCTAAAATTAGTTCTGCTAGTTAATAATGTATAAGTTGAATGGTGTGTGGAAGAATCTACATGTTTTTTGTTAATTATCTTGTTTATTTTGTTTTCTTTTTAATTTTTCTTGGGAAGGATTATTTCCAAAAGGCGTAGGAATAAACATAGACTCTGAAAAGAACATCCTATATTTCCTTGCCTTCTGAAAAGATCCAACATTTCCTTAGAAATCAAGCACTATACTAGGGAAGTGACTACAGCCTAATGGTAGAATATATGGTTTCCGTGAATAAATAGTCCAGTTCTAGTTCCCAGGATTGAGAGACACTATGATGTACTTGATTAGGATGTTGGAGTAGGGAGATCCAGGTTTTTAAGTTCAATCTCAGTCATGGAAGTTCACTAGATGAATTTGGACTAGTCACTATCACTCAGCCAAGTTGGAAGAGCAAGCACTTTATACACCAATTTTGAGTTCTTAAAGGAAAAAAAGGACATAATCTAATAATTTATAAATCTTCAAGTAAAACTACCCAGGTGCTGCATAATTTGTGTATGACTATGCAGAGCATACTCCAGTTAAATTAATTGATAATTATAACAAATGAACATTAAGATTAACTCTTTAGTACTCCTACTTTGTGGTATTTATTCTCCTTCCAATTATGATATATATTTCTGTTAACTTTTCCTTCTCCTGTTCTAGGTCTATCCATATTTACTTACATACATCCTTTTGCAATCTAACCACTGATCTACCTGGATGTCTACTATGGTGTCGATGTCAAATGCCCCAGAACCCAAAAGAGAAGTACAAACATGGGAACATGTAAGTCAGCAACATAGACACTATAGGGAGGGAAAAAAACAACTCTCTGGAAAAACAGCATAAAAGTTTAGGAAGCAGGGTCATATTATTCTTGCTAGTTATTGGAAGAATGCATTTATGTCTACAATGCACATTAAACTAGGCATTTTTCCCCAAAACAAAACTATAATATTAGCATAAGATAAATTGCACCATATTAACACTAATAAGACAGAGTCACTTTGTGTGAGATGGGCAGTTATATAAATGTGACATATAAGTAAATAAATAAAAATAAATAAAATAATAAAAATGTTGATACTGTTATGAAAAAGCATGAATGCAGCTGTAGCTCAGAAGATTTACAAAAGGAGACTACATTATCATTGGCATGCCAGATAGGTATCTTCCTCCACCCACTCAAATGGAGGATTCTTATGAACATAGTAATAGAAGAAAAAGATTCAGATGAAGCAGATGAAGGTGAGGAAAAAGCAGAAAAAGAAAGCTGTACAGATCAAAAGAAATCCTTCAAAGAACAAGCCAACAATGAAGCCAGTGAGGGTGGAGCTCACCTATCATTTGTCTGTACCAAAGAGAAATTACATATGTGAACTAAATAGAGTTTTTTTGCCATTACTTGAGCTCAGTGTAGTATTTGTCTTTCAACTTTTTTTACCTCAAAATCCTGATACTGTTCCTCTGTTAAGGATTTTTTGGCAACAACCAAAGTGCGCAGACCTTCTCTTGCCATGTTACCACACTAAAATTGTAAATATAATCAATAATTATAAAATAGTTATGAATCATGCTGGAATGTATTGATTCAAAAAGAAAAAAGGTTATCAAGCTGACTTACATTAAATAGTACATTAATGCACAAGCATGGTTTTATTCTTGAGACATCAAGCTAGTATTTCAACAGTAATATTCCTTCAGCCACCCTAGTAACTCTCCTATTGTGAGAGTTCATACACATATTGTCAGAGAGAGGCAATAGCACAACAGATATGATCATTGATAAGATAAAGGAAATACTGAAACTGGACCTCCTGCCCAAAAGAGGGAGCCAAGCATCTCGTTATATTTGGTGGACAAAAGAAAAAGGTACAGAAGGGTTTGAATATTGATTCTTTGAAAGGGACTTACTTTTGAAACAGAGCAGTCGCTGGAATTCTTCCATTATGTCTTCTTAACTTTTCTCAATTTGCAACTCATTATCTGAGGATCTTAAATTCTTGTGAGCTTGCCTAATTGGTTCCAATCCTACCTGGTGGTTGAAGTCTGACACCTATTGACGTCTGAATCAACAGCTTTACTTTGTATGTATCTTTGACCCTTTGGCATCTCTATAAGGTAGGCCAGACTAAGAAACCAATGCCATGTAGGTCATGACTACTTTTATTGTAAAGCTTTAGTAACAGAATGTTGGAAGTCTGAATGTGCTCCCCCCCCTCCCTTTATCTTTGTGTGAACTAGGAAGGGCCTGGAGATGTTTACACAAACTAGTTTTTTGGAATGGGCTTGAGCCCCACTTTGTCAGGAGTTTCTCATGGGAAGAAATTCATCCCGTTATCTGTACAACAATACTACGTCTAGCTTATGTAGCTTATGGAAACAAAACAGCTTGTGACTGTGTGTTGTGCATGTCTACTGCTAATTACTGCCACCTATTGGCGTGTGTATGCTAGTTACCCAGTGGGGGGGTATGGAGTGGCAATATAACTGGAGCTTAAAACTTTCCTCCTGTCTTTCAAGGCCATTCTCTATGCCCTCTGCATCCTTCAAGTGGAAATTAAATTAGCTCTGGTTATTTTTGAAGAGCTAATCCAAAATGTAGTGCTGAGGGATTGTTTTATCCCATGGCCTCTGAGATGTCTTTGCTGGTTTTTTGTCCATGATTTTTAAAAATACAGGAAATTGCAGAGAGAAGTTACAGGGAGATTTGGGCTGAAGCCTTACCAAATTACAGATGACAAGTAGGTTTTCTTGTCTCTATTAATCCATCATTTGGAAACAAATTAACTGAAGCTTAAAACAGTTTGAGATGAATTTACTGTTGGTGGAAAAACCGCTGTTTGGTCAGAAATTTGCAATCTGTCTGAGGAATGGCTACATTCTCCGTGTATAATCAAAGACATATGATTGAAGAAGGGGAAGTCTTTGGAAATCTGTATTATGTTTTGGGACACAGGTGACTTCCTGGCTAGAAGCACCTTTAGCAAACTTAGGCTGGTTTCTGAAACAAGATCCTAGCAGAGAAAACTAGTTAGAGCTCCAGTCTAGATTACTGTAAAATACCTTTAAAGTCTAAAAATGTCAATGCAAAATTCTAAACCAATATTCTTGTAGGAGTTAGGTGAATTCAATCCCAATTAACTGTGGGGATATTTAGGTCCGAGTTATTTGAGGAAAAACTTCTTCCTATTTGAACTTCTCAACGTCCTGCATTAAGTTGCAGAAAGCCTAGTCAGGCATACTTCTCAGATCAATAAGGCTGACAGGTATAAAGGACAGAGCCATTTTATTGATGTCCTAATAACTCTGGAATTTCTTCTGCTAAAAATTTTACTGTGCCTTTTTGAACCATGGGTTTTAAACAGTTCTTAAAAATTATTTTTATCCCACCAATTTTGCTCTTATTCCAAATTTTTGTTCTCCTGTTATTTTTTTTAACATGCTTCACTGTTTTCTTTAGAATTTTTTATTAAACTACTTTTTATTAAATTACTTTTTATTAAACTTATCCTAAGTGCAGGATAGAAATACATTAATAACATTTATGAAACATATTAATAGATAAAAAGTAACCCTCATGGAATTTAATAGGCAGGCCCTATTAAAGGGATTAAGATTTTCTGATGCTCACTTTATCTTTTTTGGAACCCATACTCTTCCTTGAGTGAATAAGAAGTGAAGTTCCTTATTAAGTTTTAGAAATTAATTACTTTTCTTGAAAGTAAGATTTCATATAAATACACTGGGACAATACAATGAACAAAGTTTAGAGCGGGCATTCTTTTTCTCCTTGGTACTCTGCATGACTTTTTATCAGATCACTTGATTTCCAAGGTTCCTATTCTATCATCATCTGTCTTAAACTACCCATTCCTTTTTTTTTTTTTAATATACTTTCAAAATTATTTTTTTAGGATGATATGTGCATTTATCATAGAAAAAGTCTACATCATATCATAAAAACAGTTGGCAACAGGCTTATTTTTCTCTGTTAAAATAGTAAAATTAAAAAATTAGATTCATTATTTTTTAAAAAGCAAAATGCTGTCTTTATAATGCAAAATACTTATTGATTTGACCTCATAATGCTAAATAAATTAAGCAAGTATTTTACAATTAATTGTACATCATTATCACCAAAAGTAATTTTTATGACACTTTATTAGGTCTTCAGGGAATTTAATTTATTCATGACCCTGATTAAATCAAACTGCCTGAAGCGGCTATTGATTTATATTGCCAATACCATTATGAACATGCATTGTGTGATTATCACATTACCATATTATCTATATGTAAGGTCAAATAAAGACAACTGCTGGTGTCCAGTACAGCAATATAGTGTAATGCATTTATTTGGTAAAAACATATGCATTCATACATAATTTAAATATATTTCAGTTACATTTCTGCCGTCCAGAGTCAAAGAAAAGCCAGCCAAAAATAGATCGAGCATATGTGACAGCATGTCTATGTCTATGATGACTCTTTAGATTTAAGGTAATATCCTTGTTTTCTAATAGATACTGTATTCAGTAAAAATATTTTACATTACCCTGTTCATTGGTTTTTCTTTCCTTTCCAATTATTAGATAAAACCTCAGAACCATTGAAAATCTCCCAAATCCATTATTCCTTTTTTTAAAATTTTTTTGACATAGATAAGATTAGATGTTACTGGATTAGAAAAAATTATTATTCAGTTTCTATTCTTTAAATTTCACTGTTCTACATTTTTAATGGTAAAGTAAAACACTTGCTTTTTTCCAAAACTGAAACAACTGTTAGCAAGATTTCTTACCTCCTCTTCTAGCCAATCATTATACTGAACAATGGAGGACATTGCAACATCTGCACCTTTCATATAAAACATGATTTCACCTGTAGATTCATCCTAAAAATAAGCAATTCAGAAACATAAGGACAAAAGAAACAAATGCAGACCTAAAGCCATGCGTACAATATTTATTCTTTTCATCTCTAGAATATGGAATTTGTAAAAGTTAGGAAATGAATCAATTCATACTATTGTAATTAAAATTCTTAATAAAAATTATACTAAAAATAAAAAAAGAAATGAATCAATTAATATCCCATAACATGGAAAACAAAATCTTCTCTGAAAATAGTTTGGAGGGCATTTATGTTTTCTGCCAGTTCTCATATTATAAATATGTACATTTTCAAGATCAGATCCAACCAGGAAAAAAACAAGTATTAACAACACATACCCTTACTATGATTCCCATTCGTTTGCTCTCAGATGTGAAAGGGAAAATTTGCAGAATATAGTATGTCAGAATCTGTCCATTGGGGGTTTTCAGTTGCATTGAAGTCAAATCCCTATTCACCAAAGTAAGACCAACACTTTCTGTCCACTGAACCAGAGCTACCTAGATAGAAATACAGTAGTGAGTATGGTCAGTTATACCCAGTGCAAATCAAGCTGAACAGAATAAAATTCATTGCAGAGCTTCTGAAAAATATCAGCAAATAAAAAGGAATACAATATACAAATTTTCACAGATTCAGTACAACGAATAATTATGGCATTTTGTGTAGCTTGTTCATATCACTGCGATCCTAATTTGGAATGGACAGAAGAAGCAACTATCAGACAAAGTACATTTGTCAACTGATATTCAACAACAACAAAATTATCCCTGACACTGGGGACGATATATTGCCTTCATCACCAGTAACCATTTTATACCACTATCAAATTCAATCCTTAAATAACTATTTTTTCATCCCCCTCTCCCTCTTTTTCTCCTCTTTTTTATTAATTTCTTTTTTCTCCTCTCTTTAGTCTATTTTAATCGTTGTAATGTATAAGAATTTTCTTTCTGTATTATCACATATGTATTGTTTGTTTGTTACATTTCACTAACACTCCAGGTCAAATCTTCTCTTTTGTAGCCCCACTTTTTGGGAATAGCTTACTACTCAAAATCAAACTGGCTCCCACACTGTTAATGTTTTAGGAAAGCCATTAAAACAAGGCTTTTTAAGAAAGCCCTAGGAGGAGATCCAGTAAAAGTTACTGGGCTGTGGTTGGATGCTTTGTTCTCAGCAACCTTAATTTCTGTTTTAGGAACTTTTGTGTTACCATTTTGATTACTGTTTCTCATTTTATTATACTTTTTTTTTTTTGCATTTTAATCCTTTTATTGTAAGAAGAGAATGTAAGCTGTTCAGAATCCTGTTGGATTGGAACAGCACATAAACCCCAGCAAACAAATAATTAACTAGGAAAAAAACCCAGTAACTATTAGTAGTCTTATCATTACAAATTTGTATAATTCCCTTTTAAAGAAATTCAAACTGGCAGACCTCACTAAGTTTTGTCAGAATATATCCTACAATTTAATTTTCTGTGAAATAAATAATTTGTAACTGTCTTTTTCTCTCAGCACTTCTCCAGCATTTAGTTTCATTCAATTTCCAATACTGTAAAAATGAAAACATCATTTTTGCCATATTTTGTATAATTTTGCCACTTCAATTATAATTCCTATTACTGATGTTTTTCCTAACTTAAAGTACCCCAATTATTGGCGGTAAGAGTTTTCTGATATCAGATATCTTTCTCCATGTTCAGAGCCCTCACTCCAAGTAGGAGAATCTGATACATTGTCTGGTCCCTGAGACACCCTTCGAGGAGCCATAGCATTCAATCTGTACTAACATGAAAAAAAGTTTTCAGAAATATATTGTGCAAGTTTGCTACTGTATTGTCTATAGGATTGTATATCTGGCATAGAACAGCATTCTGGTTCAGATGAATTAAAACTGAATATGCAAATGCACATATTAATTTAATCTGAATAAAAAGTTCAACGCAGATAAAATTAAATAAAAATCTTATTATAGTTTAAAAGCTTTCAGATATGTATCAAAACATACACATTTGTATTACAAGTAGTCCTTGGGTTATGACTGTAACTGAGATCAGAATTTCTGTCACTAAGCAAAGCGACTGTTAAGCAAAAGATTACATGACCATGCTGCTTAGTGACAGCAGTCCTGGCAGTCCAGATTGCCATTATTAGGCCAGGACCATGCAACCATTAGGTGAGGATCTCACACTTCTCCTGCCCTATGCGAACTGCCTCTGCTTCAGCTCCCCTCATCAGCTTATCTCCTCCCCCATCTCTGCCCTTTTGGCTGCCCTGCACTCTGCTGCCTCCCCCTGCTGCCCCTGCCTCCAGCAGACCCTCACCGTCTTCTTCCTCCAGCTGCTGGCTGGGATCCAAGCACTGGGTGAGGGCGCAGCCCTGAGATGCATGCAGTGAGCACGGCAGAGCCTTGTCTGCCAAAGGGAGCTTGCTGGGGCTGGGCTGGGCAGGGCGGAGGCAACAGGACAGAGCCAGTGGAGGAGGCAGGGTGTAAGGAGTGATAGCCCGCAGACCATGGAGAGTGCAGTGGGATGCGATGGCGAGCCACGGCACGCTCTGTTGCTGGGCGAGGCAGGAAAGGCAGCACTGGCTCCCCAGGCAAAAGGCTTCCCAGAGGCATACCTGTAGCCTTCAGCACACTGGAAGCTACTGATCCTTTGTGAGGCTTTGCAGAAGGAAGGCTGGACCAAGCAAGCAGAGGGCCTGCAAGCAGGCTCTGTCAGTGCTGGGTTTGCCTCCAGCCCTCGCTGAAGCCCACAGGCCGGTTCTCCAGGAGAACTTCCAGCATGAGATGCAGAGCATGTGCTGTGCTTCCAGGAAGCCCTCATCCCTCCACTTCCTCCAGGTACACCGCCACCCTGAACAGTGCTTCCCACACAGCCAGCACCTTTGCGTGGGGAGCCACTGCCACTTCTCTAGCCTGTCCCACTGTGCTCTCCACACTCCATGGGCTATCATTCCTCATGCCAGAAGACTGGTCTCCTTTGCCTGCACTGCCACCCTGCCTCCTCCTTCAGCTCCATCCCATTGCCTCCTCATGGGAATGTGACAGTGGGATGCTGCAACTGGTCATAAATGCAGCTGGTCACCAAGTGCCCAAAATTTTGATCATGTGGCCGCGGACACAGCCAGAATGTTGAGGACTGGTCATAACTACCCTTCATGCAGCGCTGTTGTAATTTTGAAAGGTCGCTGAATGAATGGTCATAGCCTGAGGACTACCTTTAGTAATATACATGCACTAAGGTGTTTTAAAGCACCTAATTTTAATAGAAATAATAATTTCAGCTTATTTCTGAACACAAAATGAACTCATACTATTAAGTGCAATAGAAATAGGGAAAAAAACCTATTTCTCCTCTGGAAGCAAGTGATATAAAATTGCAAAGATCCTTAAGTTGAAGCAATTCATTAGAAGTCACAATTCACAAAGACCCTGACTCAAAATTAAAATAATCAGCAAAGTGCAGGGAATAGAGATAGCATACATTCACAAATATTGCATTACAGGTTTTTTTTATAAAACTCAGAATGTATATATATGGTGAGTATACACCTACATGGGTTCATCAGATATATCTTCTTATAGACACAGAAAAAGCATCTATAAAATTGCTCATCTAGAAATGCTCAGAACTTTTGAATTAGCTTCCTTCATAGATAGTCATTAAATATGTGTCAGGATATGGAGTAACAGCAGCAGCTGCAGAGGGAAGTTAGAAAAAGGCAAGATGGTGGTAGTGGCATTGCAATGCAAGTCCACCGTTTTTGCACTTGCATGAACATACTGGGTTTGTATTGCAACACTGTATCTGCTATATTGTCTTTGACTTCTCCCCTCACAGACACCATGGATGAAAAAGAAATAAAATAATCCATTTTTCAGTAATTTTGGGGGCCAGATTAATCTGAGCACCTAAGGAAGAAAAACGAATCTAAAATAAAAGCGGTTGGAAGATCTACCAAGGGGTCATATGCAGTTCTCTGAAATATATCTGCCCCTTTCAAATTTTCTGAATATCTTTACCACTGAATGTTATCAGAGCTTCATGGGGTCCTGTTGATACACAAAGGGAGTTTGAGTGAAAAAATTACATCAATGTTTGGTGCTTATTTATTTCATAAACAACATGCAATGTGCCAGTGGGGAAAAAAAATTGACCCCCCATTTAGTTCAATCAATTCCATTGATAATTAGGGCCAGTAGTGTGACTATTTCATTAAGCAATCAGATTGATTTAGGCCAGCCCTATCTTATGAAAATCTTACCAACTTTGGCACTTTGATAAAAGGTCTCTCAATATATATTCTACAGGCAATATATATTCTACAGGCATCTCATGCCCTGATCAAAATAAATTTCTGAAGACCTATATAAAAAGTAATTGATGTCTGGAAAAAATTACAAAACTATTTCTAAAACCAATCCAGGTTTAGACTAATAGGGAATCTTTCCAAGAGTGGCACTCCTGTCAAAAGTATTCTGTGACATCATCTGAAAATCACAGACAACCCTCAACAACTTCCAGGGATCTGCAGGCTTCTAACACTTTGGCTAAAGTCAGCATTTCTAATTTTATCCACAGAAAACACTGGGTAAATTTTTATTTATATATTTGTTTGTAATTTGGATTTACATTTAGAAAATGGGATTCATGGGACAGTAACTGTGAGAGATAAACTGAGAGTCAGCAGCTCTCAGGGCAGTTATGACAAAACCAACAACCAACGATCGCTTAGTTTCAAAGTTCTGAAGCACAGGGCAAAGAGTCCATAAAAGGGTGAGAAAGGGAGGAAGAAGAAGATGAAACTGTACTGTCACACTGACAGAATGCAATCAATTGCTTAATATGGTTTCAGTCTAGTTGCAATAAAGTTTTTTATGAAGCCACCATTATGAGGTTTGTATCTGGGAGACTTTTGCTGAGTTCAAAACTAGGAGCCTAGTTAAGCCATGTTAACTATGGTGTAGATTTACAACCATTGCAGCCTGGTCTATGGAATCTGACTGCAGCAAGTAGAAAGAAACTGCTTATTAGGAATAGCACTGGTGCTCATATCAAATTTGCCAAAAAGCACCTGGATGACCTTCCAGAAAAATATTCCATGGACAGATGAATCAACAATAGGACTTTTCAGGCAACATGGCTGTAATGAATGATAGAAACCAAACACTGAATTTCGCAATAAGAATCTCATACCAAATATCCTGCATGGAGGTGGTAAAGTCATAGGTTGGAGATGTTTTGCTACTTCAGCACCTGGATGATTTTCCATTACTTTGCTACAGAGAATTCTATAGTATATCAGGCCATCTGTTTGTCAGCTGAAGCTAAAATGCAAACACGTCATGCAGCAAGACAATGATCCCAAACATACAAGCAAGTCTACAAATGAATGGATGAAGAACCAATTCAGTATTTTGCAATGGCCAAGTCACACTCCAGACATAAACCGAAAGAAATATTGTGGAAGGGTCTAAAATGAGCAGTCTG